TGTTGTTGTTGTTGTTGTTGTTGTTGTTGTTGTTGTTGTTGTTGTTGGTGTTGTTGTTGTTGTTGTTGTTGTTGTTGTTGTTGTTGTTTGGTTATGTCTATTCATGGGTGTTTGTCGTCTTCGGTGGCCTCAAACCAACACGAAACGCGGTGGCGACACGATTCTGCCGCGCGGCCCACCGCCCTAACCGCCGAGCGGCGCTTTGTCGATCAAAGGAGCGGTGCGCCTCGATGGAGCGCTTGGCCAACCTAGCACAGCGAAGCGCTTGGCCGCTCCGGCGCCGAAGGCAGATGCCCGCGGGCTGCCGGAAGGAAGCCTGGAGAAAATAAGACCATCTTCCCCAGGTACGGGGATTTAACATGAGTTAACCGCAAGGAACAAAATATTCAAACATAATCTTTAAGCCAAAACCAGGGATAATGGCACCGCAGCATGGCGACCCGTGGACTCCGGGTCTTTTTCCGGGGTCCGATGATACGTGGGAGCTTGGACCTGCTGTCTCAGACAGGGTTCGGTATACAAGCAGTACACTGATCACTGATCGGTGGAATACAGCTCCGCAGGAACCCAAGCAACCACCCACCTTAAGTATATTAAGTATTATTAAGTGAGCAGTGTGGTCCGTCCGCCCCTGGTGCAGAAGGCTTGATTGGCTACCCTCAAGTCCCGGATGTCCTGGATTCCTTTGTCACTTCCTCCTTCCCAAAGCCATGACCTGACAGGTTCATTCACTTCAGGCGAGCGGCATATCAAAAAGGTCTTTGTTGCTGTTCTTTGACTTTGCAAAGGCCCAGCAAAGGTTGGCAATCGTGTGCCTGGGCGCATCCAGGAATGCCGCCCAGAATGCAGGAAGGAGCACATGAATATTCATGCCAGCATCCAGGATGCTGCGCAGATTTCCCATCTCATCTCTTTGCAAAGCCATGCCAGAATCCTCTGTGAACACAGGTGTTCACAGGAAGTGGTCTTCCTCTGGACCGCTAGGGTAGCAGCGGTTCTTTCTGGGTAGCCAGGGTTCGTTGGGTTCTTCCTGGATGTCACACACATTGACCCAATCATTGACCCAATCATTATCATCAGGTACCAGGAACGCTAGCAACCACCATACACATAATTAATTACATAATACCATTAAACAAATTACAGTAGAACAAGTGGGTGACCAGCTGCACCCCTTTCTCGACACCGAGGGGGTCTAGGTGTTCCTCTCGGCCCGGGGGCCTGCCTCTGCCGCCACCGGTTCTGCCGGGTGGCGGGGGCAGGTCGTTACACTGCAGGGCGGCCGAGGCCAGCTGTCCGAACAAAATCCGCTCCTTGGGTGGTCGGAGCGGCTGGAATCGGCCCGCGAGGCCTACCCCCGAGGGGACTGAAGGTGAGTGGCACAACTGAGCTGAGTTCATAGATGAGTTATGATGAGTTCATAGGCTGAAGGTGTGAATTACACAACAGAACCAAATCTAGATGCGCCTGACTGAACCGTTCTTCAAGAATGGTTTGGGTGAGGGATTCGCATGAGGCTGGAACTGCTGGGTAAATTGCCCAAATCCATGAGATTGACATCAAATGCGTGCTTCCAAGGTACATGTTCCATACATGCATGCACTGCTTGGAAATTCTACGTGTCTATCATGTGGGCATCCTGTGGGGGTTGTCAGGAAGTGCTGAACGACCAGTGGCTGGAAAAGCTGCTGACTTCGTATTGCTCAGGACGGGAAGCTCCTGGCGTGCTGCCTTCGTGCCAAGCTTCCGCCTGTCCGGCCTTCGCGAAGGCCCACGCGGTCATGGAGATGTCGATGAAGCGCCCCGAGTCACCTCGAAGGGACGAAGGAAACAGCGGTCCCGCGCGAACCTATAGAGGCACCCATCAACCTCAGGGTTGAACAAATATGCCTTTGTGGGCTTCCTGGCCCACCCTTGTTCTAATGATCTTTTGTATGGATTGGACATGATTGGACCATCTGTTTTACTAAGGATTCTACACTACAAAAGCAGGTCAACCCCTTTTAAAGTGGTCTTGGACTTCCAGGGTATAAAAATAGCATGTAATAATATAGTACAGATCCTTTGTCCCTCGGACATCTTCTACCCTCGAGGTGCGCGGCGAAGCTACGAGGTGCGAGGAGAAGTTCAAATCACCATTCCTATGGTATAAAATCACATCCAAGACCAAGCAAAGTCGTGCTTTTATGTGGATGTTGGGAAAACACATAATATAATATTATATATATACCATCCGCTTCAGGTACTTGTAAATGGTTGAACCTCTCTGAAGACATCGAGTTCTATAGGCACGAAAGCCAAAACATGCACTGATGTACGTTGAACAAACATCCACAAACCTGCTAGATCTGGCAGGGGCCGGTGCGACGGTGCGAGATGGATCCATCCATTCGGTAGGATTCTCGCGAAAACACATCCAAACCCAGACACTCCATGTATGCCATATATGCTTACATTGGGGTGGTTTGGGGGGTCAATGTAGGCATATATGGCATACATGGAGTGCCTGGGAAATAGCAGTGCAGCAAGTCAAGCAAGTCATCGTGCGCTTGTCCAGCATTAGGCACACGCTGCAAGCGTAGCCTAGCCTACGTGCCGTAAATCATGCCAATTGGAAAACCAATGCAAACATGCCTGCGATTACACACCCATAAACTATCTATGTCCACACTAAGCGGCAGAATTTCAGGGGCTCCCAATTGAAGCTTGAAGGCCATCTCATCCTCCCTTTGCATGATGATCATGATACTGGTATATACTGGTAGGTGTGAAAGCCATCTGCTTCTCCCAATCCGCTGCAAGTCCCATTCCCGTGTTCCGCTCTTTGTTTTCGCTGTAGGAAGTCAAACTCTCAGCCGCTGTAGAACATGTTTCGAGCATAAACCCAGCTAGTTCTTGCAGGAATCTAGGCCCACATGTGAGCTCTTTGGGGCCCGAAACTGGAAGGCGACAGCCCGGAACTGGACTAAACATGACTACACATATCGCAAGTGTGAAAGCATGTTGACATTCTGTTATTGTGTCCTTTGTATTTAAGTACTTTGAACCATATTATGTAACTGTATATTGGTTCAATGTGGTTCAATGCCAATTTTGCCGTCCAATAGTTGAAACCACCAGTCCAAGACACAAATCTTTCGAGCAGCCTCCTTGGAAAGGGCCACCCACAAGTCACTTCGCTCGCGGATTTGCAACCTTGACTTGCAGAGCACTTGAACCATACCCACCATTTGGGCAGGTCTGGCCATGAGCATTCGCCAAAACAATCGGGAAAATGGACCCCTTCTTTGAACAGTTTGCCTCAACAAATGCCTCGAAAAAGGTGAGCTTCGTGTTAGACCCTGAACACGGTTCATTGGCTGCTGGGGTTGGCTAGGAGACCTCCATGGACTGGGACTTCACACAAGACATTGACATTGACTTTATCCCACAGTTTGTGAAGTCCTCTGTGGCCCTGCAACTGATTTGCTGAGGCATGCCGGCAGGTGTTGCGTGCAAAGAAAGTTCTAGCACTAGCCCACCTGAAAGCAACCAAGGAACTTCGCCAGAACCCAAGCTAGCCTGAACGGCGCAGAATGCAAGTCCCCCAAGCACAGCTGCTCCGTCAACATCCGTGCTACCACAACCAACTGGGTAAGTAAATGCCACAACTGATTGATTTTTCAAATGTTGCTCTTGGAACAAAGGTCCACACAGCTGGTCGCAGCAGGCTAAGACTTGTAGTTGTAGCAAGCCAGCTTGACCATCTGAGATCAGGACGCGCCTTTTCACCCCGTACAGTACAGCAATATGCTCACTGCATAAATAGCCTTTAAAAAGTACAAACCTCCTGCCACCCAACCAAACACCTCAACTTCCTGCCCAAGTCCAAGTATCTAAATACCGGGAGCCGGATCAAGGAGCGACCTTGGTATCCTTGGTGACCTTTATGTGCTTGCACATGACCCAAGCACACTTAAACCCTGAACGGTGAAATAGGCAAATACGTTGGAATGTAATATACGATATAGAGTGACCCTTAGGAGAAGGAAAGGAGCTGACAAACGTTGACTGCCCAAAACCAGTGCATTCATCATAGACCCCGCCATGGTTCACGACATCACAGCTCCCCTACTTTCCACATTCTACTTCAGGACGTCTTGCCTTGGCATGCTACTTTCCATCGATAGCCGATCGACCGACCGATCGACCCGCGTCCGTCACGCGTCGCGGGAAGCGCGGCGTGCCGTCGCTGCTGTCGGGGCGCTTCGCTGCGTCGGTCGGCCCAAAGTCCGGCATCTTCGTGACGGAGCGGTCGAGCACCGCCGTCAACAGCACTGGGTCCTGGCCGAGTGAAGGCGACGCGGAGCGCGGAGCGCGGAGCGCGGACGCGCTCCAGTTTGGGACTCGAAGTGGGAGCGTCCTGATGCAGAATGAACTACCAAACGAGCAGGTAGTTCCTCTCTGACTTACTGCAAATTGGACGTCAGGAGTTTGGTAAAATGCGTTTCGTTGAATTGTGGTGCTGTGCCGTCTCGTTTTGTGGATCTTTTTGGTGAGTGTATGACCCAATCGTTTTGCAGCTGCAACGGGCGTTTTGAGGTTCAAGATGGTTCCCAATATGGTACCCAAGCTGGTACGTAAAAAAACTGAAGAACAACTTGTGGACCAGTTCTGGGACTCATGTTCAACGTGTTTCGGGCCCCACCAGGGCCCCAGCAGGGCACAACCTGGGAGTTGGAAGGGCTCATCGACTAATTCAACCACCACAGAGCCGCCCAGTCAACAATGGTGACATGTCTTGACCACCATACGGTCCAGGTTGTTGAAAGCTTTGGGGGGATTCTGGTGCTGTGTCGTTCTTCCTTCTTGGGACGGCTGCTGGTTCAGTACGATTTTTTCTGTATGCGGCTCTTCGGCACCACGGGTACCGGAGCTACCTCTTTCGTGTGAAGCCGAGGAAAGGCCTTCTGCTAGCTCCGAGCTAGATGACGCCTTTGTGGCGTTGCGACGCTCTGGTAGGGCTCCCAATGTGACCCGCTGGGACTGTGGTGCCTGGTCTGGTGCTTCGTCTTTCTGCGATGCCTTTGGCTGTGATGGTGCAGCTTGCTCTTTGCTCGGCTGCTCTGCTACCCTCCCTCTTCCTGCTACTTCCTGCTTCTTGGCACCTCGCCTACCACCACTGAGATCCACTGAACGCGAATATCCACTATCAACTAAAGCAGGATCTTAAATCACGTACTGTTTAAGGTATATTTCGTGCTCTACGCTGCGCTGCAATGAGGAACGCTGGGGTGGTTGGATGGGCGTGGTCTATCTCTCTTACCGCAATGCTGGCATTGCTAGTACCTGACCATGTTCTCACTCGCAAGTGGATGCTTCAGGTGATGAGTGAACCAGCTCGATTTCGCCGGCAAAAACACCTGTGGCCCTCAAGTTGTAGGTGTAGGTGAAGCTTCTCTCATCCAACCAGCCCAGTGCCTCGAAGCCCTTCATTCGTGCCAATGCATAGGCCAGCATGGACAATCCTAGCCGAGTCACGGCAAAGCCCAGTACGACGTGTTTCTCACTACAGCGGGGCATATCATGACAGTATGCCAACTCCTCTGTGAGAGAGACAGTTGCAAGGTCTGGGCACCATGCCTTTAGCCTAGCAGGCATTATTCATCATTTTCCACCCCTTACAGTAGTCCCACAACTTTCCGAGAGAAGACTCCTGCACACGTCCCGAGGTCTTCTACATGTCCCAGTTACCTTTCCACCATGTCTCCACTATGTGCTCCCCCCCCAACAAAAATCGAAGAAAACAACGAACTATAGAAATTCCACCAAGTCCCTTCCCTGGACCCTTCTTTTGGGGAAGTGGATCTCGTGAATTCGGAGCCGCCCGGCGCCGCCGCCCGGCCGGTCCGGCCTCGCGGCTCCAAACGGGCCACCGAGCTGTGCATGCGACGCTGCAGCTCCTGCCAGGCCTTGAAGCGGTGCCGGGGGGGCCCGAGGGGTGTGGCTATATGGGGACAGAAGTCGGGAAAGGTTGCTTTGTCCTTTGTTTTTTTTTGGGGGCGGTGGGCAGGGAGATGAAGGGGAATAGAATAGAATGTCGAAGCAGAAACCACAGAAATTGGATCAATTCTATTATATGATATGCGCTGATATACATATTTGTCTGTTTTTTTTGCAAATATAAATATTTTTTTTTGTTTTGTTACTATTGGTGTGTTCATTGCTAATAATAGCACGTTCGTCACTGGTTTTTATTTTGTAGTAATTGTATTTATTGTAAGTGCTATTATTGTTAATACATGCAAGTTGCTATTGTTATGATTTTCATTTTCTGAAATCTATGGTATGTAGAAATTGTTGTTTTTTGTTTAAAGCTGGAGATGTTTCAGAACTCACCTGGAAAATGACGCGAGGACTGCTGAAGTCCAAAAAAATCATTGCAACATATTGCAACAATCTCCTTCACTGGCATTCACTAGGCTACTTACTACTCATGACATTCTTGCATTCAAAGGGTGCCCCTCCCAAATGGGACCCTGATAAGCACAGACCGAACAATCTTGATCTACGATTTCTCAGCCATGTTCCACTCCAGTGTTTGAACAACATGGTGCGAAAACTGCTGCCTGCTAACTTCCATCAAAACTGCCAAATCATGACCCTCGCCGGCTTCATCCAACAAAGGAGCTCGATTCTCACGGAAGACTTCTAGACTCTGGTCCTTCCACGGCAAGGGAAGAATAACTCGCGACTCCTGGGCAACTCACCTCCTTACCTGAGGAACAAAAGCTAATGAACACAGGGCATTGTGAACTGAAAAGAATGAACATGGCTCTGGGAAAAGCCGAACTTGAGTCTTTGAAATCAATGCATCTTCATCCGTACCACTCATGGGGCTTTCCAGAACTGTCCTTCTCATGCCAATGGAAAATCTGACAACCTGTTCCTTGTGCATGCAAAGTTCTACATGCACAATGTGTGCAAAACGACTGGTCGTTCTTCAGCTGGAATTCCACAAATGTGGTGTCTTGGACCTATTGGCGCGTCAAAGCCATGGGTCATCTAATTAAATAGTTCAACACAATTCCCAAGTGGAACCCAATTTGACTTCTTCAGCAAGGCCTGCACCTGCACCTGGCATGCAAACACGCAGGCCAATCTACCACGAAGCACCTCTTTGTCCCAACCACACCTGGGTCATGTGCTTTTCAGCCTCAGCAACCTATCAACTCCCATACTGGTACAACCCCATCTTCACCACCTAGCCGCAACGCACATGGGAGATGTTAAACGAGGAGGCCCAGCTGGAGCCCACATGGGCACGGCCACGGAAGACGCCACACGTCCCAAATCTGGATACTTGGAGCTCCAAGTTGAGGTGCCAACGTATGTGATGTCATGTCATGTCACACGTGTGCGTGAAAAGAATTGGTAGTTGTATATATATATATATATAGTAGAGTTCATATATATATATATGTATACATCTGCAATATGTACAGTAGGTCTATCATATAGATGTATGTAGAATTATATAGAGACATGATTTAGGCAAGCTACAATGCTGCGGGCCAGCAGACCCCGTGCCGTGCCTGTGACACTTTTGGGATCTGCGCCACAGCGATCACCGTATTGCCTGCATCGAAATGCTCGATTTCCTGGCACGGATGGCTTACGCCAGTCGGTTGGAACATGTTGATACATGTTGCAACCTTTCTCCTGCACAAAACAAGGCCTGCTTGTGCTCAGTCAGGCTTATATGCTTGACAGTCTATACTTGTGTTGCGGCTGAAAGCGCCAAGGTAGCAAACAAATCAGTCGCATGGAACCAAAAACCCGCTAAGTAATTCAGAGTTGCTGGCAGCAGCGTGACATGCTCTTGAACTCAAGCGCTGCGCGGTGCAAATTGGTTGTTATCTACCAGCTGGCCTGACCAGCTCCATATATGCGTCATATACAGTATAGTATAGATCCATATTATCGTTCCCTATCCAAGTTCCAAACATGGGTCCCTTTCCCAACTTCGGTGGGTACCAAGTAAAAGACATCTTAAACCGCCCAAGATCGGGTGCCCAAATCCTTGGGTCCGCCAACCCATGTCACCGAAGCAACCGCTGGAACCCAGCAAGCGCCCCTTCCCAACGCCAGCGCCCCCCCTCTTCCCGTCCGTCGCCGTGCCGGGGACGTCTCGCCTGCCCGATCAAGTCAAAGAGACTTGGCAAGGTCTCCTCGTCACGGGCGCCGCGATCGGAGTCGAGACACGAAATGAGTGTCACTTCGAGTGACCCCCAGCATTGACGTTGAAACATCTGACCACTGACCACCCTCACCTAACAGGTGGGGAGAAAAAACACGCAAAGAACACTCACTCTGAGGTTCCTCACATTGTGAGATCCTGTGTCTCCATGGGGCCATTCGCACACCGTCTCAGCTTCCGTCCCTTCGGCCTTCTTTCACGTTCTTTCCAGACTCACAGCGGTGAAGTGGCACATGCGCCAGGCACATGCACACATGCCATTCCTGAACCTTCGCGGAAACTCCTGGCTCTGGGGCCTTTGCCCCGACTCCCTGGCTTTGGAGCATCCCCTTTCCCCAACTTCTTCAATGCTTTTGGCCACCTTCTTCCACATCGCTTCACTCCTGCTCCCGGAGGGCAATGTCCAATTGGATCTGGAAGGGATGCCGCACCCCAATGGAGGCGAAGATGGGCGGTGGACCTGGCCGCACACTGGTCGCGAGCGACTCGCCCGAGGCGGAAGACTGTCCCGTCCAAGGGGAGAGAGCCTCCCGCGCCTCGTTTGCCCTCTTGCCAGATCTTCGCGCTGTAAAACCTCGGGGCCGTGACCAACATGTTGGGTTGCAAAGTAGATAGAACACAATCCCCAAGTTCAGAGGTTTATATGGAGCCCCCGACAAGACATGTAGGGGTGCCAGTGCCATCTACTCTCAAACCACTGCAATCAAGTTGAATCAATCAGGTGTGCCCCAACCATGCCTTTTTGTTTGGCACACGTTCCCTGAGAAAGCCCTCCCCTCTGCTGGTTGCGGACTGGGGGGATTGTGGCGGATTGGGGGGGTCATGGGCCTGTGGGTTCCGATCCATACTCAAACAAATTCAATCATGAACAAGCCAGTCACAAATCCAAATCCGACTTCTGAGCTGGTGAGGCTGGAGCTGGATGCCCATGCCCACTGGAGTGAGATGAAGTGGACAAAGCTTTACACCTCGTCTGAAAAGCAAGACCCAATGGTCATGATGCCGAACAACCCCGCCGCCCACGTGGCCAAGCCTTCATGCTCCAGCTCCAACACCCAGCGCCAGCCAAACAAACAACTTAAACAAACCCAGAAGCGGAGCCTGTCCAACACCTCATTCACAAAGAAACCAACCCTTTGCAAGACCCATCGGCCCCCCCTTCAGTTCAAGGACGACGTCATGGCAATCTGTCAAGGTCATTGGCCAGCTCCAACGCATCTCTGGTTTGTTATGGTGCTTCCAGAAAAACTCAAGGGTTCAGAAGCTGGGTGGAGGTCCAAAGGTGGTTCAGTTGACTGGATTGAATTGAGGCTTCAAAGCAAGTGGGGCAAACCCACAGAGCTGGAGGAGACTAAAGACGCTTGTACCCCTTTGGCTCAGTTTTCCCAAGCAATGAAAAATAAAATCAAAAGAAGGTTTGTCCAAAAATGTTTGCCCAAGACTTGGTTTGGGAGGTGTAGATGTTCGGCCACGTTCGGGCCCCCCAGGTCATAGTTATGCACTGGTTTCTGCCATCACTATCTTGCTGCACCAATTGCGAATGATGTGTAATTAGTTTGAACAAAATAGATGCTTGGGTGCTTCTGGGGCTGTTGCACTGAGTGATGCGTTAAAATCTGAAGTGTTTCAGCCAAAATGCGGCTGAGGCAGCGCATGCTGATCAGGTTGTTTGGGTATGTTTTGGCCGCGAGGGATGCGGAATCAACCGAAATCATCCAGCCCTCTCATCAAAAAAAATGGCAACTGACCACAACTGGCCAATGTAGTGGGTGGTCAATCAGCTCTCCCTTAGTCATACTGAAGCTATTCTCCGGAAGGATGAACCATACAGCCAAGTTGCTGAATTGGGAACTGCACAGGCAGGGTGATTGGGGGGGAGCCATGTAGCACACTTGTTTCATTTTAGATCGACGCCGGGAGAGGAGGTCTGCTGAACCTCACCAGCTCTGGGTCATGTGAAGCTTAGCTTTTTGTTGGGTTCTGGTCTCCTGAAGCGGAAGTGTTTGCAGAAACGGGATCCCCGGTGACAAAACACAGGGGATGATCATGGTTGCATCTGTACGACCAAGCACCTCTTGACCAAGCACCATCGCGATCGATCGTGTATGCGCACGCTGCTTGCGCTGCTTGTGCTTGACTGCGATGCGCAGCATCCGACACGGCGGGGTTGTCCCGCGATCATCTGCTGTCTGCCACCTTGTAGTGATGAAGTCTTATGAAGTCTTGATATCTATAATAAGTAAGTAGGGCCTCTGCACCTACAATGAACCAATAAGGCGCCATCATGGCAGGCATTAGGCGATAAACGTCCCATCTGCTGGCTGCCAGTTGCCATCATTCGGCAACGTGCACCCCTCCTTGGCCAAAAAGGGCAAGGCCTTCTCCACATCTGGCTGGTGGTTTCTAACCCACTTGACAAATTCGAGTCAGTGGTTCAATCATTCCCAGGTCTCTGAAACCACCAGCTAGCCACCGAAAGGCCTTTACCCTTTACCGTGCGTTCAGCTTCTCAGTCTGCAGACTTCCGCCCATCCGGCTTGCGATGCCGCCTCGTGCCACAATCCTTGTCGGGCTTGAAGAGCTTCTGTCCTCGTGGGCTGAAGCTGGGACCCAAGCCTGTTTCTGACTTCACCCTGCCAGGCCACATTTGGGGTACTATATCACGGTGTATGACCAGTAACCGTGGATGATGATGGTCAACCAGAGGCGTTTTTATGTTCGCCTCCCTTCTCTACAGTAGCGATCATGGTGCACCGACCGTTCCAGGTGGGACACCGGCCGAAAGAGCATGCCCAACCGTTCGGCCCCCCCTTTTTCGCGCCTTTCCAGTAGTCGGGCAAAGATGACCTGGGTCGAGAACGGGATGTCCGGTGCCCGGAAAAAAACCATGCAAATGATTTGAATGTGTGGCTGGTCCCAAAGTCCACTTCATCAACTTGTTGCCACCGATCAAGTCATGGAAATGTCATACCGCCTTTGGTAGGTATCCTTTTGGTCATCTCAAGGGAATTGTTTGAAACTTGGATTCACAGGGATTCCAAAGAACGAGCATCATCATGTTCCGTGAAACGCCACCCCTTCCCTCCTGCATATGGTCGTTCACATCTGCGAGCGCTGGCTTTCTTTCATTAATCCGTCAACAGCACTACCCCTCTTGACCAGCACACCAAGTGTAGAAAGGCTTCCGACCAGCCGATCTAGCACGTGGTTTCAGACCAGATTGCACTGGCACCCCAAAAAATGTCTTGAAAGAAAGATGGGGGTCCATCTCAACCACCGAAATCGGGGGCCCTTGTGCCATCGAACCTATGAAACCATTGCAGCTTCAAGATGCTTCAAGTATAACCTTCATGGATCCTGGATCTTGTGCTGCCTCGTGGCTGTCGTGCCCCTGTGCTTTTCCCTCCTCGTCTCATTTTTGAAGAAGCTCACCCCTCCAAGACACTACGACACATATCGTCACACCCCTTGTGACACGATATGTGTCACATCTCTCACCTGGGAGCCTAAAAACAGCGCTTTTAGGAACAGAAACAACACTCCAGAAACCTCCGCCGCATCCAAATCCCAAGCACCTTCCCTCCAAACCTCTGGACGAGCTCCGAGGCTCCGGACGACTGAAAAATGTTCTCATCGGTGTCCCCAAGCCACCTGGGAGCCGGTGCCAGAGTCTGAGAGTCTGTGCGCGATCGAACACAAGACCGACTAAGTCTGCGACATCAAATGAAATGTTGCCCCGGAAGAAGCACGCGATTTGGACGACTGACATCTAGTGATCATTCTGAGGATGTGGGCAAACATGGGCAACACATGGGCGATTTGGACCACCTCTGGGCTCCAAAACTCGACTGACTCCTTGTTGGGGACTTCGGATTCGATGGGTTCTTCATGTTCTCACGCCTTCTCTTCCCCTTTCCCCCACCGGTGACCGACCGGTCCCCCCCCCTAAGGAGCGAGCACCCGGGCAGTGCCGGTGGCCTCCTGGCGACGGAACCGGGCCAGGCGGATCCACACGGTCTCGCGGGCCAAGGCGAGCGGAGTCCGAGGTGCTTTTTTGGGGTGGAAAAAAACGAAGGGGGAAGAGATCTAGAGAGATCTAGAGAGAGATCTAGAGAGTCGACTGAGTCGGAAGAGATCTAGAGAGAGATCTAGAGAGTCGACTGAGTCGGAAGAGATCTAGAGAGAGATCTAGAGAGTCGACTGAGTCGGAAGAGTCTAGAGAGATCCAGAGGAGTCGACTGAGCCATCTCTGCCTGGAGCTTCTTCACATGCAAGATTGGCAGGCCGCTTTTTGGGGGGACCGGTTTGTTGGGACTTAAGATTCTTTGTATGAAAGGGCGCCCCGCGCCATAGGTGAACTCCAGAAATCCATGCCAGCTGGGCCAAGCATTGAGAAGCTTTGATGAAACCGAGGTGTACATGATCTACAGTGGAAGGGTCACACAAGCAAATCGAACGATACCATACATTTCGATACATTTCGGACGCGCAAATGCACAGACTCAGCAGCTAGCCGCGCGCTGCATGCTCAGCCTGGGTTGGGCCTATGCGCGGCCGCACGAGGTCCGCGGCACGGCGTCTCTTGTGGACTAAAGTGGTGAAACGGGGGCGGCGGGGGCATTTTCGTCCCTGCAACAAGTAAGTTGATGAATCAAACTTGGAGTAGCCTGATCTGATGTGCCATGCCCAGTGCAACGTAGTCGGGTTGTGACGCAGGCCACTGGGCTTGGAACACTTCACTGTTGCATTCATAGGCCAAACATGGTGTGTCGAGTTTGGATGGAATAGCTTCTGCAATGTCCCAAATGATTCCAAAACCATCGTCTGTGCCGCACAAAAGATGATTGCGTGAGTGGGGAGCCCAAGTAATTGAATTCACGCAGGAATCACGATAATTGAGACCTGCAAGTGCCACAGAAGGTCTTCGGATGTCAATCAAAGTCACTCCAGGAGCATCCATCGCAACTGTAGCAATATGATTGGTGTTGCTCTTATTCCAGGCAAGCCTCAACAACGGAGATGGTGGCGAAGACTCGTAGACGATGGTTGAGTGGTCCAAGTTCCTTAGGTCAAAGATCCGGACCGAACCATCTGCCCCAACTGAAGCGAAAAGGCTATCGACATGAGAGAATGCAATGTCATACACCGCCTTGTCGTGAGCAATCAGCTGTGTCTCGATCTTCTGCTTCTCCAAGTTCCAGATTGTACAGGTTGTATCCACCGACGAAGCTCCAAGCTTGTTGTTATTTATGCTACTCCAATCGAAAGAAGACAAAGGAGGCAAGTTTGTTGATTGCTTCTGTGCTCTGGTGTTCGCCATTGTTGCAACACACTTCACCTGCCCGTCTTCAACCTTCCAAAGATTTAGTGTAGTCGTAGAGGAAGCTAGCAAATTGCCGCCATCACAGCCATTCTCCGGCCTCCACAGCAGCTTCGTTGGAGGGAATGGGTGCTCTGCTTCTGCCACGCATTCCAAGTTGCCCTCGTTGAGCTCGAGAATCTCTATGAAATTTCGCTTCTCCTCAATGCAACTCCCCACAGCAAGCCTGAAGCGAGCCTCAGGCGTAGCGGACCAAGCACAAGAATAGGCTGGC